ACAAGGGTTATCTACTCCTCAGGAAACCGTCTGAAGTTGGCTAGGGTGAAAGAGGTGGAAGGCAACTAGTACAAGATCACTTAGTATGGGGATTCAAACTCAAGTCCCATCCCAGTCTGAATCTGACACTCTACATAGGGTTGCTAGTCTACAAGTTGTGTCTGGAGATCTCCCAAAATCACAACTGGTCTCTAGACTACAGAGATCAGTTCCTCTGGAGAAAATGGTTTCTTTGGAAGGGACTCCCTGGCACTGTACCCCACTGAGATCCCCTCCACCCCAAATCTCCTCCTCCTCCTCAGGCTCCACCCCCAAAATCTCCAACCCGGATCTGGCAACCCTAACTCTACACCATGCTGGAAACCCAACCGCATCGTTGAGTGACCACCACCCTACGTCTCCACAAGTGCCATTTCTCGACCTTCCATTCCATACACCTACACAAAAAACTTGACTAAGAACTTCTTGGCCTACATTTCCCAACTCTGAAGACAAATAAACACTTTAATACATGGGAAAAAAGTCTAATTGATGTGGTGACAGAACCTTGCCTCAGCTTCTAAGCCTTGCCTGGCAACTTCCACCTCCAGCCTCCTGTTTGAACCACTTCTTTCCTTTCATAAACACATATTGTTAATTTTTTTTATTCTTTCCCTTAATTTGGAAACGTGAGGCCCATTCTGTTTAGATAGGCCAGTATCAGTCTATTATATTGTCTGTCAGGCTGAGGGATGCCGGCCTCCAGGTGGGACCTGGGGATCCCCTGGAATCACGGCTCATCTCCAGACTGCAGAGAACAATTCCCCTGGAGGAAATGGATGCTTTGGACTGTGGACTCTATGGCATTATACCTAGGGTTGCCATCCCCCCCCCCAATGCGGGTGGGAGGTTCCCTCACTTTCGGGGAACCCAATCCACTGCCACCCAGTTGGCCAGTGGGGGAAACCCTGCTCCTCAAGAGCTCTGGCGGGCCCACTGGGCACATTGTATGAGGGACACTCTAGCATTTACGCTAAAACTCTATGGTGACCATAGATTTTTTTTTTTGCCCAGATCCTAGAGCATCCCCTGAACGATGTGCCCAGTGTGATGACATCACTTCTGGGTGATGTCATCATGGCACACACACTTTGCGCATACACCAAAGACTCCTGGACAGAGGACTGGATGCCGCCGCCCCCACCATCAGTCAAGTAAGATCTGGCAACCATAATTGTACTTCACTGAGGTCCCTGTCCTCCGCACATCTTCAGGAGTTTCCCAACCTGGATTTGGCAGTCCTACCCCCCATCTCCCACCAGTGGCCAGGGGGCACCTGTCCAATGCTCCCTCTAAGCTGTGGAGTCCTGTGAGCAAAAATTCTACTTTGTGAGCTACTGGCATTAAAATTGTGAGTGAGAACATAAGAACATAACATAAGAGATGAGTCTTCTCGTAAAGCCTTCCAAAATAACACAAATCTACATATTTTCGAGATATTTCTTGAAATTAAGAACATAAGAGATGCCAATGTTGGATCAGGCCAAAGGCCCATCCAGTCCAACACTCTGTGTCACACAGTGGCCAAAAACACCGGAGGCCATCAGGAGGTCCACCAGTGGGGCCAGGACATTAGAATCCCTCCCACTGTTGACCCCCCCCCCTAAGCACCAAGTGAGTGATATGGCTACTGCTTAAATTAGTTTGCTCTGGAGCCATCCTTCCTGAGCCGAGTCAAAAATGTGTGAGCTGGAGGCTAGAAAACTGTGAGCTAGCTCACACTACCTCAGCTTAGAGGGAACACTGCACCTGGTAACCCTGGTTGGGCTTGGAAAGGACTGATTGGCCTCCTGTCGTCTATTTCAATCAGAAGGAAATCAGAATTTATAACTTCCATCTCCCTGCAGTTCAATGTGCCCTGGGGACCTTAAGCAAGGGACAAATATACCCCTAAACCATTCACAAAGTCCCCTCCCCCACTTGACCACCTCTTTTCCATTCTGTTTCAATCGCCCTGAAGAGGCAACGACAATAAAATGCTCCTGAGGTTTGCAGAGAGCATTTTTGCCAGCCAAATTCAAAAGGCTTTTGCATTTGCTTAGAGAAGAGACTAAGGTTTGCTCCCAGTATAAGCATGAACTGTAACGAGAGGGTGATAACTTTGAAGACAATAGGAATACTCCTGAGGAAGACTTTGATGAAACGAGCCTACATCCGGGTGCAGGGCCTGTAAAATGGAGCTGTTCCGCCAGGCTTTCGGTTGAAGCGGCGGACATCCAAAATCCATTTTTAGCCTCCCCTACGGTGGCTCAAGTGGTTAAGATGCTGAACTGCAGGCTGTAGAAGGTCAGTAGTTCAGCAGTTAGAGACCCGAGTGTGCCGCATGACGGAGTGAGCTCCCATCTCTAGTTCCAGCTCCTGCCAACCTAGCAGTTCGAAAGCAAGACATTGCAAGTAGATAAATAGGTACCATTTCGGTGGGAAGGTAACAGCGTTCTGTGCGCCTTGGTGTTTAGTCATGCCGGCCACATGACCATGGAAACATCTTCGGACAGCGCTGGCTCTTCGGCTTTGAAACGGAGATGAGCACCGCAACCCTAGAGTCGGATTCGACTGGCCTTCGAGCAAGGGAGACCTTTATCTTTACCTTTTACTGAAATCTCTGACTTTATGCTCAGCTTAAACTGGGCATAGTAACATGAACCTTGATTGCGATTTCCACTACCGTTTTAAATGACTGTTTTTGTGACTTGTAACCCACCCTGAGCTTGTCCACTTGGAGGGCGGGATAAAAATTGAAACAAATAAATAAAAAGAAGAAGAAGAGGAGGAGATTGGATTTATACCCCGCCCTTCACTACCTGAAGGAGTCTCAGAGCAACTTACAAACTCCTTTCCCGTCCCATCCCCACAACAGATACCCTGTGAGGTAGCTGGAGCTGAGAGAGCTCTTTGGAGAACTGCCCTTGAGAGAACACCTCCGGGAGAACTTGTGACTGACCCAAGGTCATACCAGCAGCTGTATGTGGAGGAGTGGGGAATCAAACCCGGTTCTCCCAGATTGGAGTCTGTGCTCCTATCCACTACACCGAACTGGCTCTAAATAAGTAAATAAATATCATCATGAGTATGCCTCTTTTCTTTTTAAGCTTGTTTGAGGCTATGTTTTTTTTTTTTTTTAAGTCTGTGGCATCGCCCTCCCTTTTCCGGCTTAGAGTTTCCTTCTCTTCCCAAGACTGATAGCAGGTTTGGGGACAGAGATGTCTCCGGTTGGCATGATTGACAAGGTCCATTTGTAAAAAAAAAAAAAAGAGTCAGGCATCCATACCAGTTTTGTTAGATCTTGGTCAACAGCTCACCTTAATCCCCACTGAAGCCTTAATAGATTGCTGTAGTACAAAATGTCCAGAGGCTAGAATGAGGATTAAGGAAATGACTCTTTGGCTTAATTCTTCGCTGACCACACCCCAAAAATCTGTAATTGCAGATTCAAAATCTGCTATGTGGGATTTGTTCTGCCATGTTTAGCAAGGATCTGTATTATCACGTATTCTTTTAATTTCTCTGTATGGCCTTTGATTGAGATCTTCCAAAGATCTGGAATTCAGTGCTGATGGCACTCTAAATATGTTCAAATAAGCCTCTAGAAGTAGCCATCTCTGTTTTGGGCCATTACTATGACTAAGTGGCAGAGACAGAACAAGCTCAGACTGGATCCAGATATGATGGAGATGAAGCTAGTTGGCAAGGCTGGTATTGTAAAGGGAATTGTCCTGACCACCCTGAAGTGTATATGTTGGGGCTTTACATAACAACATAAGAGAAGCCCATGTTGGATCAGGCCAATGGCCCATCCATTCCAACACTCTGTGTCACATAACAGCCAGGAATACCAGGTGCCATCAGGAGGTCCACCAGTGGGACTTTGAGAAAAGCAGGTTTTGATGATGGCCAACCTACTTGTTTCCAACTTCATTTAACCTGCAAGAGGATCGATCGATCTAATTTATTACGGCAAGAGCCAGCGAAACAGTACAATTCTGATATAAGAAGGATTGAAACAGTAATAACGAAGGAACAGTATAAAAACATTAACAAGAGAAAATTAATAAAATCAGTAAAATAAAATAATATTAATAAGAGAATCATACCATTTTTTCAGCTAAAATAAGTTTACGCTTCCTAATAGCGAAGCAACGCAATTTTGCCACAGCGTTAAGTCACTGAGCTCTGAACGTCTTCTAAGCAGAATTTACAAAGGACTTCTGGCCTACAGTCAGGATAAGACTGCAGAGGGCTAAATCTAGACAGGAGAGGTAGTATAAGATGGTCTCGTTCCTCCTGATAGAATCTGCAGAACAGGAGGATGGGAGTAATTGATTCCACCATATTAGCCACGCATCGAATGTGGAAGTGTCAACAAGGACCAAGAATGCCCATTCAGAGAAAGAGCAATGTTCCCTAAAAAAAAAAAAAAAAAAAAAAAATCTGGAATCTAGCCAAACAAGGGTGTCCTGTGCTTTCTCACAATGCCATCTCTCTTCCTTGGAGATGACCCCTTTTTTGGCTTAACTACGTGGACATATTCATTAGAATAAAAGTACAGGTTTAGGAAGTACAGGTTCAGGAAATGAAGTTCCCTGTACAGGCTTCCCACTTTCATATCTGAAAAAATAAAATAAAAGCACCCTAGTGTCCATCATAGAAGACAGAGGTGGGTTAAAGGTGATCTAAATAAATTAATGAATACAAGACAATCCTTCCCCTGTTACAAAGCAGCAGCACGGAATCACAATGCCGGGTGGAGCTCCTCATTAATTGAGCAATTACAGCCATACAAATTACAGATATCGATCTCTTACACCTTCCCAGGCATCTAGGGTTAGGGAGGCCAGTGGTTAAAAATGGGAGTAGCTACAAGTCGACTTTCTTGGAGGTGTCTCACTTCCCGTAGGAGAGACACAGAAACAGTATAAAAGATCTCTAGTCTGCTAAGTGCTTTACTTACACGTTTGCAACCTGGTTTAGTATCACTTGCTGGAAAAGGTAAGCCAAGCTCGCATCCATACTAGATCTGTGTTTTTGTTTGTTTGTTATATCAATGGCATACATAAGGAGCATAGTTTGGAAGACAAAGAGATTTAAATAATATATTCCAGATGGTGATATTTATTGAATGAGGTATGATTAAGCAATCTATAACTGCTAAAGGGCAATTAAGATACTGAGATATTCTAATGCAAGGCATTATTCTAATTATTCTAATGCAAGACCATGGGGTCGCAAAGAGTCGGACTCGACTGTGTGACTGAACAACAAAAAATGCAAGGCAAACATAGGAGGATCCAGACAGGGAAATAGTATATTCCAGAAGGAATAGTATATTCCATGGAAATAATATATTCCAAATGGTGATATTTATTGAATGAGGTATGATTAAGCAAACTAGAACTGCTAAAGGACAATTAAGATACTGAGATATTCTAATGCAAGGCAGACATAGGAGGATCCAGACATGGGAATGGTTAGTGGAGGCACCAGTGGATTCGGTCAGAAAAAAAAGGAAACTGAAACTCATTGGGAAGGTTCATGTTCGGGGTTACCATCCAAGAAATGGCAATGGGAACACAAAAGGTTTTGATAAATCTTGGGACACTTCTGTTGGGGCGGGTCATCCCTAGTTCCAAAGCTCGCCACCAAGTTTGGACGGAAGTTAAGTTTGAAGGGACTTATAGGTCTTCCGGGACATGGACCATCTCAGATTCAAGCCTTGACAAATCAAATGAGCTCGGGTTGCAAGCCCAAAGAAGACCTTCTGTGCCTGAGACTTAACATCAAAAACTGCCAAATAGAGTAGATAATATGGGCTAGTCTCGAGACAGAACAACGTTTTTCCTTCAAAAGAGAGCCGGTTTGGTGTAGGGGTTAAGTGCGCGGACTCTAATCTGGTTTGGTTCCCCACTCCTCCACTTGCAGCTGCTGGATGACCTTGGGCAAGCCGTAGTTCTGATAAGAGCTGTCCTTGAAAAAGAGCCGTTCCTGTCAGAGCTCTCTCAGCCCCACCTACCTCACAGGGTGTCTGTTGTGGGGAGGGGAAGGGAAAGGAGTTTGTCAGCCACTCTGAGACACCTTTGGGGAGTGAAGGGTGGGGTATAAATCCAATCTCTTCTCTCTTCTTTTTCTTCTTTATATGTTTATAGATTTCAGAGGGACATTCAATTGCTCAGTGATAAAGGATATGCTTTCCATGTATAAAGCCCTACGTGGCTTGGGACCAAGTTATCTGACTGAACTCTTGTATGTTCCCACTGGGGAACTGAGGTCACAGGGAAAGGCCCTCTTGACTGTCCAATCAATCAAAGAAGGTCATTTGGTGGTTACATGAGAGAAGGCCTTTTCAGTGGCGACTCCACAGTGATGGAACGACCTCCGCAAGGAGGTGCCACTGCCCCCCCCTCACTTTTTAGGACTCCATTTGTTTAAGTTTAACGTCTTAAGTAGCGATGTTAACTGTGGGTTTTATGTTTTGAAGGTCTTTTTATTCCATGTGTTTTATCCATGTCTGTAAGCTGCCTCGAGCTGCGTAAGGAACAAAGGTGGCTAATAAATGTTTTGAATAAACTACAGGGGTCATTTTGTAGAAAAAGAGGTGCAGGAGCTCATTAGCACAACTCATTAGCATAACTTATTTGCATACGACACACCCCCTGACATCACCGGACGTGTGTCAGAAGGCAACACCCACTGCTCAGGCTCCACTGGATTGTTTTGGATTGCTAGCTATGGGGGGGGGGGACATGCAGATCTGCCCTCGCAGAGGAGGGAGAGCTTGTACCTGAAGGTGGGGGGGGGGGCTCTGCAACTTACCTGGCTGATTCTTGCTCCTCGTGGCCCAACTGAGGGCTGCTGGGAGCAGGGGGCAGGGCTTGTTGTATGTGCCCGCCCCCTGGGCTCCTTACTGCCGGAGCTCCGCTCCTGTGCGCTCCCGCAGGAAATGACCCCTGAATAAACAAATAAGGTCCCGTCGACCTGGACCAATACAGGTAACAACATTTCAAGGGAGGCGAAGAGTACTTGTTCGTTGTGGTGGGAAGAGCTGTCCAGTCGCAATGACTTACGGTGACCCTGTAGGGTTTTCAAGATACGTGCAGAGGTGGCTTCGTCATTGTCTGCCTCTACGTATCAACCCCGGACCTCCTTGGTGATCTCCCATCCAAGCACTACCAGGGCCAACTCTGCTAAGCTTCTGAGATGTGGTGAGATCAGGATACCCTGGATCATCCAGGTCAAGACAAGAGATGGACAGAGGTGGGTTGCCATTGTCTGCCTCTGCATAGCAACCCTGGACTTCCTTGGAGGAACCTCATCCGGACCAGGGCCGACCCTGCTTAGAAGCCAAGATCTGATGAGAGCAAGCCAGCCTAGGCCATCCATCTCATAGCTTGTTGAGACTAGCAAACATTTGAGGATCTGCCTGTCCCAATTTTAGTTAGCTTGTTGTTTTGGGTGGCACAGCATGCTCTTTTGGGTGGCAGCCAAGGTTTCTGCTGGCATGAAGAACCAGCACTGCTTCTTCAGGTCACCAGAGATATTTCAGGAGGTGGCAGATGAACATGAGTTCTCCCAACTATGACTGCTCAATTGAAGGTATTGCAAATGCGAAGGCGTTCTCACCACAACTTGGCACTTCCCGACTGGCAGTCAAATTGGCTTTACCAAATGGATCCCGACATTCATCAGACGAGCCAGACTAACTTGAGTCGTAGAGTTGCTACCAGACTTTCGAGACAAATGTGCGCATGTCCTGGATATAAAATGGCAAATAGGGAGGCCTTTTCATCACCCCTTGACCCTTTCCGATTGGCAATCGAATTGGCTTTACCAAATGGATTCCGTCATTCATCAGACCGGCCAGACTAACTTCAGTTGTAGACTTGCAACCAGACTTTTGAGACAAATGGGCAAATATGTGGGATATAAAATGGCATACTAACCAAAAGGATGAAGTAGAGTCTACGCAGAAATAGAAAATTGGCATCGTGATGCATTGTGGCAAAGGAGATTTGAACATGTTCTTATGAAACGACCTTATACTGAATCTAACCATTGGCATAGCATGCCTGGTAGCTATCCTGACAAGCAAGCTCTTCCCCCAAGTATTTCCCAGTCTGGATACCTAAAATCTTTCTAATGGGAAATACCAGGGATCGAATCAATGACCTTATCTGTGCAACAGAATACATGAACTGTTGTTAAGCTGTAGGCTTTCCACAGAACATACCTCTGTCACACAGTCTTCAGGAATTTATTTATTTATTTATCTTTGGATTTATATCCCGCCCTACCCCGAAGGCTCATTCACATGGATGGCTCACTTTTTCTCACACAGAACAAATACCTGCATAGCTTTGTTTTATTTTTGGAAGCTCATATAATGCAGCTGGACTCGATGTGGAACCCTTTTCGTATTTCCTTGTGTCCCAAGGCCATTTACTTAGTCATTAAAATCTTCACCTGATAATGGTCCAAAACACGACAAACAAAAAATGCAGTTAAAAATGATAAAATGATTCAATCCAAAATCGATAATGCTAGCTCTCAATCTAGCAGCAAAAGAGTCATAGCTCTCAGTCTATGCAGCAAAAGCACAGACGGCTTCAAAAGGGAATTAGATAAGCATATGGAGCAGAGGTCCATCAATGGCTATTAGCCACAAGGTACAGATAGGGACTCTGGGGCAAGTGATGCTCTGTCATCTTGGTGCTTGGGGGGGTCAACAGTGGAAGGGCTTCTAATGTCCTGGCCCCACTGGTGGACCTCCTGATGGCACTGGTATTTCTGGCCACTGTGTGATACAGAGTGTTGGACTGGATGGGCCTTTGGCCTGATCCAACATTGGCATCTCTTATGTTCTTATGTAAGAAGGGCCAGTAACAATTATTATTGGCTCTATGATGGACAATAAGAAAGAAGCCTTCACCTGCTGGTGAAAGACATCAATAGAGGGAGACGGACAAGTATCCCTGGGGAGGGGGTTCATACGTTTTGGTGCCATGGCCAAAAAGGCTCTTTCTCCGGTTGCCACCCATCTAGGTTCATACGGCAGGGGCAACCAAACTACAGCCTCCAAAGATGGTGACTCCAAAGGCCATGGTGACTTATATGGTTCTCTATCATGCCATGCAGAGGGCTTTCCTCCCCAGAGGAGAAGGAGACTCCATAGATCCATACCCACCACATCTTCACGTAACTAAAACCTGGTTGTCTGAAATACTTAGGCTCACCATGCTTTTGCTTTGTTTCAGAGCCAAACCACCCATCCTCCCAAAGGAAACCCAAATTACACTGAAACTTAAGAAGATGAGTGGGCAGCAGCGGCAGAGCAGCTCTTGCTGTGGTGGCGGTGGCGGCGGCGGCGGAGGAGGTGGAGGCTCTTCATGCTGTGGCGGCGGAAGTAGTGGAGGAGGTTCCTCTGGACAACAGATTCAAGGGAGCTGCTGCTGCAGTGGGGGTTCCTCTGGATCCTCTGGTGGAATGCAGCAGATGCAAGGGTCTGGATCTAGCTGCTGTGGCGGCGGAGGATCGAGCGGCGGCGGCGGACAGAAGATCATCATCGTCTCGGGAGGCAGTGGAGGTGGACAGTGCTGTGGTGGAGGTGGAAGCAGTGGAGGACAATCTTCTGGATGCTGCGTGGGGGGCAGTTCTGGTGGGGGATCAAGCCAGCTCAAGATTCCATTGTTCAGTGGGGGCGGTGGCTGTGGAGGCAGTGGCTCCGGTGGAGTTAAGGTTATAGTAGCAGGTGGAAGCGGGGGAGGATCTGGATGTTGCGTCTGCGGAGGGTCCAGTAGTGGAGGTGGCGGCTCAGGGGGTGGTGTAAAGATTCTCGGTGGGGGATCTGGAGGTGGTGGAGGATGTGGCAGCTCAGCTGGCGGAATTAAGGTTATTTCTGGGGGATCTGGAGGTGGTTGCGGAGGCGGCAGCTCAGGAGGTGGTGTAAAGATTATAGGTGGGGGATCTGGAGGTGGCGGAGGAGGAGGTGGATCTGAGGGTGGTGTGAAGATTATTGGTGGGGGATCTGGAGGCGGTTGTGGAGGTGGTGGTGGAGGGGGTTGTGGAGGTGGCGGCTCCGGGGGTGGTGTTAAGATTATAAGTGGGGGATCTGGAGGGGGTTGTGGAGGTGGCGGCTCCGGGGGTGGTGTTAAGATTATAAGTGGGGGATCTGGAGGGGGTTGTGGAGGTGGCGGCTCCGGGGGTGGTGTTAAGATTATAAGTGGGGGATCTGGAGGGGGTTGTGGAGGTGGCGGCTCCGGGGGTGGTGTTAAGATTATAAGTGGGGGATCTGGAGGGGGTTGTGGAGGTGGCGGCTCCGGGGGTGGTGTTAAGATTATAAGTGGGGGATCTGGAGGGGGTTGTGGAGGTGGTAGCTCAGGAGGTGGTGTTAAGGTTATAGGTGGGGGATCCAGTGGTGGTGGTGGTGGCGGCCAGAGTTCAGGTTGCTGTAGCGGGGGAGGGGGTGGAGGTAGCTCAGGTGGCAAGACCATCATCATTTCGTCTGGTGGTGGTGGAGGTGGTGGCAGTGGAGGCCAGAGCTCTGGCTGCTGCCTGGGAGGAGGGTCCAGTGGTGGTGGTGGCCAGACCATCATCGTGCCATGTGGTGGTGGTGGTGGCAGTAGTGGTGGTCAGAGTTCAGGATGCTGCTCCCAATCTATGCAACAAAAGCAGAGCTGTGGTGGCCAGAGTTCTGGCTGCTGCATTGGAGGAGGGTCCAGTGGTGGCGGCGGCTCAGGTGGCCAGGTCATCATAGTGCCATCTGGAGGTAGCAGTGGTGGCCAGAGCTCTGGGTGCTGCATCGGAGGAGGGTCCAGTGGTGGTGGCTCTGGTGGCCAGACCATCATTGTGTCACCTGGTGGGGGCAGTGGTGGCCAGAGCTCTGGGTGCTGCATCGGAGGAGGGTCCAGTGGTGGTGGCTCTGGTGGCCAGACCATCATTGTGTCACCTGGTGGGGGCAGTGGTGGCCAGAGCTCTGGGTGCTGCATCGGAGGAGGGTCCAGTGGTGGTGGCTCTGGTGGCCAGACCATCATTGTGTCACCTGGTGGGGGCAGTGGTGGCCAGAGCTCTGGGTGCTGCATCGGAGGAGGGTCCAGTGGTGGTGGCTCTGGTGGCCAGACCATCATTGTGTCACCTGGTGGGGGGAGTGGTGGCCAGAGCCAGAGCTGCCTGGGAGGAGGATCTGGTGGTGGTGGAGGTGGCTCAGGTGGCCAGACCATCATCGTGTCACCTGGTGGTGGTGGCAGCAGTGGTGGCCAGAGCAGCATTGGAGGAGGGTGCGGAGGCGGCTCTCAGTCTATGCAGCAAAAGCAACCCCTTGTAATCCCACCCTCCATATGTCAAACCAAGCAGTCTTCCCAATGGCCACTGGGCAAGAAGTAAACGTCTTCTTCTTTTTTGCACTGCGTCTTCATTCAGCGACGAATCAGATCAATGTGTCCGTATTTCAGATCCTTGTGGTATGACCTCAGGCTAGTTAACCTTTGCATGTTGCATGCCTAGCTGTTCTGCAAAGCACTACCTTGTCTTCTCTTGTATTTTTTTTTTAATTGCATGTGCTATCATCTGAAAAGTGTGACGGGTTGTACCTCTGTGGTGGAGGAGGTTGGTTTTATCCTCCACCCATTTCTTGCTCCTGTCTCCACTGATGCGTTGGAGATAATACAGCTAACTTGACATTGAAAAAAGCAAAAAAAAAAAAAAGTTTATGCTGTCTTTCTTTCTCGGTCGTCGGTCCAGTGTAATCTTTTATCCAGACAAATCCCACACAGCCAACAGAATGTAGTGACTCAGCCCTGAGACAATAAGATAGAATCTTTAATTTCGTACTGCACCTGTAGCATTTTTAATGCTTCCTCATACAAGGGGCAGGGCAACTCCACAGCAGCAGAAAACTAGCACCGAAGGGGGGGGGAGACTGGGACAAAGCCTCCCCCCCTTGATTAATTTGCTTCAAGGGTGTTCTTAAGGTGGGATGTGCTCATCTCCAGACTGGAATGTACAGTCCACACTACATAAGAGAGACCATGTTGGATCAGGCCAATGGGCCAGCCAGTCTAATACTCTGCATCACACAGTGTCCAAAACCCAGGTGCTATCAGGAGGTCCACCAGTGGGCCCAGAACTCCAGAAGCCCTCCCACTCTTGCCCTCCCAAGCACCAAGAATCCAGAGCATCACTGCCCCAGACATAAGAGAAGCCATTTTGGATCAGGCCAGTGGCCCATCCAGTCCAATACTCTGTGTCAGGCAGTGGCCAAAACCCAGGTGCCATCAGGAGGTCCACCAGTGGGGCCAGAACTCCAGAAGTCCTCCCACTGTTGCCTCTGAAGCACCAAGAATACAGGTCCAGTCTTTATACAAGAAGCTTATAGTAGGGTGACTGGCTTCCATTCAGTAGCAAAACACATATAGAAGTAACTGTGGTTGGGAAAGTCCTTTCTCTGATGGAGACTCTGGCAAGCTGTTGACAATCGCAGCAGACAATACTGGACTACAAGGATCAATAATATAAAGAAGCTTCATATCTGTAGATCTAGCCTTAAGGAGCAATTCAGTTCAAATCCCATTCATCCAACATGTAACTCCATTAGCATTCTGAAGGTGCACTTGATGTTCACAAAACAATGCTTACCTGCATCGACCCTGAAACCACATTTTAAGCAGCATCAGACCTTGGAACTTCACTTCTCTCAACCACAGTCATACAAAGAAGAAATGGGGTTCTAGCAGCAACTTTACAACCGTTCACAACATCTGATCTCCAAACGAGTTTAAGTGTATAGGGTAATTGTGTCCTAAGACTTGTGACTTCAGGGCAAAACCCCATTTTGTTCACAATCCCTGGACAGTGGTCATATGTGTGGTTTTCAGAATCCCATAACCATGATATAAAGGAGAGAGCCTAGACCCACAGGTACTTTGCAGTGGATTTGAGCTTCGAAGTTCCATTTACCTGGAGGGGATGGCGTGACGTAGTAATGCCCACCCTTGAAGATTAGTGAATGATGTGGGCAGGGCTATTTTTGGGCAGGAACGCACAGGAACGGAGTTCCGGCTGGCTCCCAAGTTGGCCACACCCAGCAGGAACTCATTAGCATAATAGGCCACACCCAACAGCAGAAACTCATTAGGATTGGGCGTGTGGCCTAACATGCAAAGGAGTTCCTGCTACAAAAAAAGGCCCTGGGTTTCGACAACAAACAAGGTAAACAGAATAACAAGCAAAAGGTGGGTGTGGCTGGATAACCACACTTCTGGTAACATGGGGGTGCAGCCTAATGTGCTAATGAGCTGTGCTGGCAGGGGTGTGGCCTAATATGCTAATGAGTTTCTGCTGTGGGGTGTGGCCTATTATGCTAATGTGTTCCTGCTGGACTTTTTCTACAAAAAAAGCCCTGGATGTGGGTCTAATTTCTCTCTCCACTTAACTTACATTACAGGGTTTTGGGGAGGGGAAGAGAATGTATATGTATATCTTACCGTAGCTCTGTTTATAAGTTACAGTGAACACAAGAATAATCCACGTACAATGGACACTTGATTTCTCTTTACAAGGGCATTGAGTAATTCTCACACTACATTCAACATGTGAATAATGGAATGCTAGATTTAAGCCTCGTGCCTAGGTACTGCTCCCCAGGTTCCATTTGTAATGTAATGTGAACATGCATTGGTTCTTTCTTACAAACAGATGTACACATGTACAGGCAGGATGTGTGTGCCTTGATTGGGCAGGTCTTTTAACTCCTTAGACTCAAGGAGGGTACCACAGTAATAAATTGAAAGGGCACCAAGACAGGGTAACACAGAGGTCTAAAACTCATTTGTTACGAGGGCTGGATCTGACATAAATGTCACTTTGCTGGGCTGGGCCATGTGTGCCATACAACGTAATGCCAGATACTGGAGATATAAACTTTATAGAGGACACGGGCAAACCCAATGGGCAATATTATTTCTACTTAAAACACAAAGGAAAGCAACTGATCCCTAGCAGTGAAAGCAACTGGTTTACTGGGGAATCCACAAAACCCCCAATAAATGTATTTAATCACATGCAAGACTAGGTTTTTTTCCCAAGGGATACCATAAAAGGGGGAGTACCTTACATTTCCATACATACCAGTGGGCTGAGTAAAAGCCCCGGCCCTGGACGGGCCAGTTCCGGCCCCTGGGCCTTATGTTTGACACCCCTCATGTAACAGTCCATCAACAAAATAATACACAGATTCAAAACACAGCCAGAACTGCCAAAACACTTTGCCCTTCATCCAAGGCCCTTTAAAACAAAACTGCCTTATACCTCTTCCTAAATGAAGCAAGTGAAGGTGCCTTTCTCACCCATTCTGATAAGCTATGTCAGAAGACTGGCCCCACCACAGAGAAGGCCCTGTTGCTGCATGGATTGTGCTGAGGACTCCATCAACAGAAGGCTGTATGGGGAAAAAATGCAATGCTGGTGTGGGGGAGCATACAGGGAAGGGCTGCCAAGTTTGTTCAGAAAATCCTGGACATTTGAGGGGGCTGAACCTGGAAAAATTGGGTTTGGGACTGGGAGGGAGCTCAGACAGCCAGTTTGGTGTCGTGGTTAAGTGCACGGACTCTAATCTGGGAGAACCGGGTTTGATTCCCCACTCCTCCACTTGCACCTGCTGATGTGACCTTGGGTCAGTCACAAGTTCTGGCACAGCTGTCCTTGAAAAAGAGCAGTTTCTGTCAGAGCTCTCTCAGCCCCACCCACCTCACAGGGTGTCTGTTGTGGGGAGGGGAAGGGAATGGAGTTTGTAAGCCGCTCTCAGACACCTTTAGGTAGTGAAGGGTGGGGTATAAATCCAATATCATCATCATCATCTTCTTCTTCTTCTTCTTCTTCTTCTTCTTCTTCTTCTTCTTCTTCTTCTTCTTCTTCTTCTTCTTCTTCTTCTTCTTCTTCTTCTTCTTCTTCTTCAGCAGGGTATAAACCAGGGGTGGCCAAACTGTGGCTCGGGAGCCACATGCAGCTCTTGGAGCCCTCTCCTTGCCACTCCCACCGCATCCCCCCCTTTTGAAAGCCACTCCCCTCCCCTCTGCTGCCCCCTGCTGCTGGAAGAGAGCACAGAAAAGAGAGGAGGAGGAAAAGCAGTTGCCCCAGCTGCCGGGAGCTCACCAGCAGGGGAGGGATTGGCTAACAGAGCCGCTGGTGTCACCGGGGAAGCTGGTTTCTGTGCGCCCTGCTCGTCAGGCCGCCAGTGCCATGGCGTGTGGGGGGGATGCTCTCTGCTGGGGAGGGAGAGCTCCAGCCAGGCTGCATGGTTGCATTACCCCCCCTCCATGGGGACCTTTAAAGAGAGCACAGTGAGAGGCTCTTCATGGGCCTCTTGGTGCCAGCGCCATGGGGGGTGCAGGGGATGTCCTCTGCCAGGGGGAGGGGGGACACAGGGTACAGCCAGGGTACACGGTTGCCTTCCACCCCCTCCATGGGGACCTTTAAACAGAGCACAGTGAGAGGCTCTTCATGGACCTTTTGCCACCAGTATCATGAAGGGGGTTGTGGGGATAGCAGGCAGAGCGCCATCGAAGATGGCTTGTCCATGCTGGCTGGGCTAGCTCTGCCATTTCACAAAGTTTTGCAACATATCCCAGCAATGTCTGTTTTTACCACCTGGGGGTGGAGCCAGGAGACTTTTTGGGCGGTGGAGCCAGGAGACCTTTTTTTGGGGGGGTGCCTTGCAAGGATGTGACATCACTTTGTGAGGCCATGCCCTGCGATGTCCCTTCCAGGTGACATCACTTCCTTAGCTCCACTCCTTCCAATGACATAACATCCTCTTCCTGTGATGTCATTTTCAGGCCACTCCCCTAAACCTTCCTCTTCCTCCAAAGTCACCTTGTGGCTCTTGAGCATCTGACATTTAGTCGATGTGGCTCTTACATGGAGCAAGTTTGGCCGCCCCTGTTATAAACCCATAGAGTCCACCCTGCAGAGGGGACATTTTCTCCGGGGAAACCAAACTCTGTTGTCTGGAGATCAGGTGTAATTCCAGAAGATCTCCAGGCTCCACCTAGAGGATGACAACAATGTTATCTCTAAGCTCCACAGTGTTGTGAGCAAAAATGCTGCCTCGTGAGCAGGAGAAGCTCAAAGCATTAAAGCTGTGAGTGAGTCTAACATTTGTCTATCACATAAACTAGTTTTTTCAGAAGATTATGTCCATAACCTTGTAAACATCTCAGAATGAATTCTTTTAAACTGTAAGCTATACAGAATCAAGTCAAATTTCGTTACAGAAAATGTCCTGCATGGGGGTAGACCAAGCCTCTGGAGAATAGGTCTACCTGCCCCTTTCCAATATATTAGTAGACCTGTCCTTTGGAGAACAGGTCTACCCACCCCTTTCCTATATTGGTAGACCTGTTCTCCAGAGGCCTGGTCCAACAATATAGTGGAAAGGAGCAGGTAGACCAGTTCTCTGGTGGCCAGGTCTACCAATATAGTGGAAAGGGGCAGGTAGACCTGTTCTCCAGAGGCCAGGTCTACCAAAATATATATATGCAGGTAGACCTGTTCTCTGGTGGCCAGGTAGCGGAAAGGGGTGGGTAGACCTATCCCCTGGGGAACAGGTCTACCTGCCCCTTTTGGTAGACCTGGCCACCAGAGAACAGGTCTACTCAGTCCACTATATTGGTTGACCCGGCCTCGAACCATCGCCCTGTGCTGAGCTGTAGAAAACACACCAGCACTTGGCGGGGGGTACTCTTGCAGTCAACTTAAAAAAA